GGCTAGTCATCACCACCCACCGCCAACTCATGAGCTACTCTTTTACCAACGAATAGTGGAATTGACCGTCGCATTATAACGTCCTCACGGCTGAAAGAGCGAGCATGTTTGATGTGACGGGGATTCGAACCCGCGACTCGCAGATTGCGAGTCGAGCTCCCTTACCACCTGGCCATGCCGGGCCCTGCACAAAATTTTGACATTTTGCGGAAAACATTTTGCCTCAATAAATGTATGAATGTAGGTTTGACTCGCCTGGTATTTTTCTCTCTACCCTTTTACATTTGATCTCTACGTTCGTATATCCAAAATATATCACACTCTATCGTTTTATTGAGGTTAAAACTTGTTGAAATGAAATCTTCCAACTCTTACCGTGCTTCTCATTCCTTACAAAACAAAACAAAATGTGAGCACGCTTGATTTCTTTCCTGTATTTATTGCATATAATAACACATATGTCTTAAGACGTCCGAATCTTAAATAAAGCATGAGAAAGATGGCCAGTAAGTTCGCATTCTTTAATATCAGATTCGGAATAAATTTCGAACCCTCTGGAAAATAGCCCCTATGTCACATGAAAAGTGTCAGAATATTGCATGCCACTTCACGAAGCCGTACATAAAACTTGATGGTTGGTTGGCAATACAGCTTCAAATCAAACTTAATGGACAAGAAAAATGCTTCAACTGAAACAGGCGGCGAATAGAAAATGGTTTAGTGATCCAAGAAATTATTTTGTTTTGTTTCAAACTAAATTCTAATAATCCATAGCACAATAAAGTTGAATCAATTTATTGTCAATGCTGTCAATTATTTATCAAGAGGAATAAAAAATTACAGAATTTTTACCTAACACGAAGATGATGAAGCTAAACCTTTAGTGTTTTAACTGGACATTTGAAATTTCCCCTAAAATATATAATTTGCTTACTGTAATATATTGAAAGTATTTCAGTCAGTTAGTCTCGTGGTTTTCAGTTTTATTTTGCAAAATGTTTCCTCCACTGACTCAGTGACAAATTTGAGGGCTTATATCGCTAAAATTCGAGGTTTTCCCTGGGATGGGCGCTGCACAGATAACCCAGTGTGTAGCTTTGCGCTTAACAACAAACAAACAAGCTTGTAAAATGTTGTTATTTCTAAGTTGTTGTTTTGGGATGAAAACAACTTCACGTATAATGAAATGAAATTTTGCATACAAAACCAATAGCTTTGAGATTCGTGTTGAAACTTAATTTTCATCAGTTCTTCAAACTTTAATTGTTTCATTATGTAGGAAGTTAAGCTGATGTAAAGGTGTTAAATAACTTCATTTTTTTCCCATAATTTAGCAGATCATATTTACTCAATACAGTTATTTTCTGATCCTCACAAGGAACTTATCAAATCTATCCACTAATATATTTGGGATAAAAATACATTGTGTATAAATATTAAACTTTCCTTACGTAATGTTTAGAACAATATAAGCAACGGTAACGTCAGCAATGCTATCGAAGGCAAGCACAGTTGTGCTAAAACAACCTAATTATAACCTTATTGTTTTTTACACTTCTGAATTTAATTAGTGCAAATAGCGTTTTTTTTCTCTCGATATTTTATGTTTTATATTGACATTATAATTTAAGCTCAAATTTAAATTCAGAAGATTTTCTAATCCAAATCTAATTTCTTATGATGATGACTAAATATTTCAAAATTCGAAATTGAAACTTGTCATTAACTTGAAAAAAGAAATGAGAAAACCCATAAAACTGAGAGCACCCTCCTTGAAATTCCCAACAACGCCATTGGAGTTGGATATTTTTATATCAATGTGTTCACTGATATAATTCTACAAATTCGTAATGTAGATTCAATATATCCTTGAGTACTACTTAATTTATTCGGTATGTTCTTAAAGCTAAATATAACTGTTTTAGCCTTACTTGAGTTTTGTAGCACACCTCCATTATAGTTGAAGATAAAACTATTCAATAATAATTTCAATTTTTTAACATAAAAAACTACATCCAAATAAGAGAGATAAACATCATTCCTGAGAATATAATTAACATCTGAAGAGGTGATAATTTTGTGCCGAAGCTGGAATTAGAAAAAAAAATCAACATATTATTATTTCTTAAATGCAATTATTTAATGTTTTCAGTGAAATATATATATTCTCTAAAATCCCAGGAGATCTACAAATCAAGCTTTTATTTTACTTTTTTCTTAGACATTAAAGGAATGAATCTTTCAAAATGTGAATATAGTCCACTAAAATTAAATTATAAAATTATATTATATTATATAAATCATTTAAATTGTAAAATTATATTATATTATATAAAATTATTTAAATTATATTATATAAAATTATTTAAATTATATTATATTATATAAAATTATTTAAGTTATATTATATTATATAAAATTATTTAAATTATAAAATTAATTATATAAACTTATTTAAAATTATTTAAATTAAATAAAATAAAATAATTATAAAATTAAATTATATAAACTTATTTAAAATTATTTAAATTAAATAAAATAAAATAATTATTAAATTAAATCATTAGCCCTTTAGTGATAATTAAAACTCAAATTTTTGTTATTTAAATAAATTTATGTTTGATGACTACCAGTTGAATTTCTGAGTAATATACCAATATAATGTTTTGCATTTTCAGGAACTACAAATTTGTTATCCACATTTCCTATGAGATCTTACATTATTCGCAACATATACACGACTTTAACTAAACTTTTTCTCATAAAGACTAAAATCTATCAGCTAGGTCAGAGGTTGGATTATAATCCAAAGCCTCTCCACCTTACTGTCCACAAGACGAATTATAAACGCAAATTCGTCATACCCCCAAACGGTTTCTTTACCACATTACACTAAATTTATATAAAGATCAGTTGTTTTACCTAGAAAAATATTAATAACAAAATTTAATATTATTGCTAATGTAATTTCCGTTACTTCCAAAATTTTCGATACCCGTGGTGGGCAGAGCACAGATAGCCCATTGTGTAGCTTTGTGCTTAATTAGAAACAAACAAACAATACTTCCAAAATATTCGTGAGAGCTTCAAATCTTTCACTACAAAATATTTCCACGAATTTGGACAAAAACTTAGCTCAAAAATAGTTATAGGTACATATATAATACACTATGGGTCCCCCTTAGTATGATCCTGTTGAACCAGTTTCCTTATATATTTCGTTGTTTAAGCATCCTGTCTTTATTAACTCTAGTTGTAATTTACGTACTCCAGTAGCTGTTGGATCCACATTAATTTTCACAAACTTATTTATATTATCCAACATAGTTTCTACATTGTTAATGGTCGGTTTGTTTGCGAATTACAAATTCGTATCCTTTATCTGCTTTGTTGGTTTTAATTGACATTTCTCGACGAACACATTCAACGCAACGGGAAACAATGAAGCCTCCGGAATGACAGATCCAAACGCCGTTTCCCGTGTCATTCCCCTGGGGATCCTAAGAGCACATGCAGGATTTGGCGATAATCGGTCCAGCGGTGCCAGGTATAAGCGGACGCACACACACATATATGAATCATATGATACTTTTTTTTATCCTTTATACGATACTTTGATAATTTAAAAGATTATATATATATTGGACAAGTTGAGTATTCAACGATCGTGTCTTTTGTTCCTTAGCTTTCAAGAACGTCTATTTGTATGTATACTTATTTGGTTCTAATTTCAAAAAAAGCTTTTAACATTACAACTAACTAGTTTAATTAAAACCCCTAAGTTTACACAGTTAAAACGGGTTTGAAATTATCTAAATAATATTGCTTGTGATTATTTGAATAGAAAAACAGGAAAAATCATTAAACTACTTGATCACGTTCCATTGTGACCCATCATTGAAATTGGCGCTAAACTAAAACAGTTATTTTTAGCACTAAGAGCAGAAGGAATAAACTAAAAATCCATCTTGTGACATAGGCATTAAAGTATCCAAGATGCAAACAAGTGTGAAATTGTTAGTGATTAAAGTATCCAAGATGCAAACAAGTGTGAAATCGATAGGCATTAAAGTATCCAAGATGCAAACAAGTGTGAAATCGTTAGTGATTAAAGTATCCAAGATGCAAACAAGTGTGAAATTGTTAGTGATTAAAGTATCCAAGATGCAAACAAGTGTGAAATCATTAATTTTTCGGTCATGACGAGGTTAAAGTTTTCATTTTCCATAGATATCAGAAAACTATTTTACAAACATCAACAAATAAAAATTTATTAATTTTATAGAAAATTCAATACGTTCTTGCGAAACTAATACTATAATAATGTTTAAGCAACTTTGTAGAGAACTTCAAAAATGGCTGTTTCATACATACATACATACAAACTACCAATTTTGTTTTGTTTATTTCGAAATTATTGCTGAAATATGATGTATATTCTAATCTAATTTTTCTATGGTCTTTCGTCACTCGTTCAGTTTTAAATTAATTTTAAAAGTCGAAATATAACTTGTGAGATTTGCAGTTTTTCCTGTTCATTTGTAACTTTTGATGTTTATACGGAATATCGTACAAAAAAGTTATTTCTGAAAGTTAAGTACATAATACATGTGTATGTGAATGTTGTTTAAAAGCTGGCACGTGATCACAAAATATAAGTTTAGTACAAGCAAACAGAATGATGCGTATATTAAGACTCGCGTTTTAACGATAATTAAGGAAAGTCGTCAATTTTAATTTGGCTTTTACGAAGTACCTGAAGTCTTGTTAGGACGTACCCGTTTTGTCATGCCAGCACATTCTTTTACTGATTTCTTTCACATCACTTGCTACTGGCGCCATTTGTCACGTGCCTTCTTTGATGTTGTATACGGATCTGTGAGGAGGAGAAAGTAGGCTATACCAGATTTGGATTTGGCATGATGCCAACCTGATTTCTCTTCTCTCTTCAAGAGCCACCTGAAGTGAGCCTAGATAGTTTGGAGGCAAAGGACCCTCGGACAGCATTCCTGAGCTGGCACGTTCGTTACCGTGGAAACCTTCCAGTCAAACGCTTTCACCTGCAAGTGCGGAACTTCAGCACCGGAGCAGATTGGCTTGACGTGGACACCAATATTGGAGCTAACCTAAGCGTCTACACAGTTCGTTATTTGTCGCCAGCCATGACTTATAGCTTTCAGCTAGCAGCGGTCAACGACGCGGGGTACAGCGACTGGGAAAACCTCAACATCACCATGCCGGCTGATGGTGAGTTACACAGTAGTGAATTTTAGCTTATTGTCATAATTGTTACTAATACTACTTGGTGATTTTATGCCTTTAATACTTTTACGTTACAAAGAAATTAATAAATGTCATGTGAAGTACCTTAAAAGACAAACTATTATTATCAAAGATAAAATAAATACAACTACAAAGAAGAGCGTTTGTTAATGATAAATGTTAGTACTGACATGTGATACATGGCAGTTATAAAGCATCTTTCATAGGTGTTATTTAGCAGAAAATATATTCGTTGCACATCTAAGTTTCAAATACTTCAAGTGTCGTACATAGTTATGGTTAGTTTGTGTATAAGTGTAGATTTATATACAACACCACAGTAGTTTCCATTTAAACTTGTAGTTATTTTTCGTAGTAATTTTATGTTCAGAAAATTAAATAAAACTCCTTTAAAAATTATAATAAATATAGCCAGATTATTGCCTAAAATCAACTTCTATTTGGTCACCAAACATTCAATGCCTTATAACATAAGTGTGTACAGGTTAGTTCTGAATATTTTTTTTGACATATTTGCGAGTACTTTACTGTAACCCAAGAACAAATGAGATCAAGAACTGGCGAATAATACTTGGACAACAGCAGATCCAAATAGTGATATGTACAAGGTGTCTAGTGAAAATGACGCCGGTAATAATGCAAACTGGGAACAAAAATGATTACTTAAAGTACATAAATAGACAATTTGCACTTTTACTAGTGCCATTTTTTATTTTATTTTTTACCTCTGCTCTTATCATCAAGACCATTGTTAACGATATTTTTTCGTGGATTCTAGACACGCAAACCATTAAGGTGGGGTAAATTAACAGTCTTTAGCTCTGGTTCGCGGGACAGGAAATGGTGAGGGGGGGCGTCATGTGAAGTTAAAGGCAGTGGGCGGTTATTCTACCTCTAATTATAGTTTGTCCCACAAAAGAGATAAGTAATGTTAAAATTTATATAATCAGTAAAGAATATTTCTGTGTTTTCATTTTTCTCTTCGGCTAACACTAAGTTTTAAAACCAAAGAAATACAAGTATAACGTTTTGCTTATCTACGCAGAATCATTAGGTTTGTTTCATTATAATCGTTAACCTGTATTCTATTTCACACAATATAAATGACCCATGTGATGAAACAATATATTTATTCTGCAAAAGCCTGTAAATCTGATTTTATGTGATATAACACAGAATTGATTAAAATACATAATTTGCAAGCATATTAAAATTAAATAGAAAATTAGTTTTCGTTACCTAACGGCGAAGACATCGTTAACACGAGGTAAGTAACATTCAACGTGATTAGCTTTAATGTTCATTTTCTTCTTGTTTTATACATTATTATATTCCATATTGTTACAGACTGTCGGTAATGTGTAATGTTTTAGAAGTTTTCACTTCGTTTGGATCAAGTTTCGATAATTATGCAGTAGTATAAGCTTGTTTCAACATTTTAAAGTGTGTTTACTCAATATATAATACAGATTTAATACAAAACAAAAAAACAGAAAGAGAACGTTGTGCTGTTCTCTTTTATTTATTGTTTTATGTTAATTAGATTATTGATAGCCAAGATTGCTGAAACATATTCAGTTGATGAATTTGAATATTTTTAATTCGTGTTGTATAACATTTTCTAATTTGTTTCTGGTTCTCTATTAATTTTTAACCTGAGGTAGTTTTTTGTGAAATATACAGATTTGCCCTTATCGTGCTCAGCGTAAAATACGTGGCATATCACATTTACTTTTTCTTTTCTTTTTTTTTTGTCATAGATTAATGTTGATGATAAACGTGCACTAAACGCGATTACTACGAGTTGTGGCTGATTGTATGTCTGGATTAATTTTAATGCTGAATTTGTGCAACCGAATATGAACAGTTTCAATCACACTTTAGTTTCCGTCAGAAAATATATGTAGAACTGCATTAATATTATTGCTAGATAGACTGTCAGATAACACAAGAAACGTATAAAAAGGGCGAAATAATCTTCATGATTTTTTACATCTTTGACAAGAAAAAATGACTTAATCGTCATTTCATTTAATTCACCTAAATTTCACTTCTCCAGCTTTTACGTTACATCAGAATGCTCATAAAGATAAAAAAAATCATAATAGTTTTTAAAAAGTAGAAATAATATACCAAAAAGTAAACAGAACAGAAAGGGCTAACAGTTCAGACAGACTTTTGAGATTACAAATTCTCCTATGTTTGACATCGCTTGCTATTGTAAGGTTGACTTACACCTGGTGTGAACTAAGTGTGAATGTAAACTTTAAGCCGACACCAGGTGAAAGTCAACCTTGCAATAGCAAGCGATGTCAATCCTTTTTAAAGTTTGTTTTAAGGGTTATATCATTCGAAAAGTATTGTTGATATAAAATATTTCGAAACCCGTTATCTAGTATTAAAACAACAACAAAAGAAAACTAGAAAGGAGATAATGTTTCATCTATCTAACACTAATATGTTTATTCGAAAGTTAACTGGTATGAAAGAACCTTCTCACGTGAATTTACAAGAGAATTTTTATATTCTAACAGATACAATTGTGTTTTATGAGTGAAGTCAAAATGTATCATCAAACATAAGAAATAATAAATGTTAATGGTACTTCTTCATCTATAATGTTAGCTGCTATAGTGTACCAGAAATGTCACGTGCATCACCAAGTCTTTAAAAACAAAACTATGTGAAAAACATTATATGAGATCCCTAACGCAACTTGATTAGGACACCAATTTAACAGTACCAGAACTGTAATAACGGACGATATATATTTAAAAACGAAAATTTCTCTAGGGAAAACAAACTTGTTTGCATGTTTGTAACGAGTACTTTGTAATATAGAGATATGTTGTTAAATTTTTACAGCAAAATATATGTGATGATATTTATCCTAAATTAGCTTAGTGTACAAACAAAATTGGAATTAGTTTGTAAAAACAGTGGACAGTTGCCATTTTACAATATTTCTAGCTCAGTCAGTAATATAATGGCATTCTTCAAATTCTGTAAGTCACTTTCGCATACAGGTTTCAATGAATGATTCATGAAATAAGGAGCACTTTTATTTATGGATTTACTACTTCCTGTGCATTCAACCCTACAACACACCTTAGTTGATAGAAACATGGCATATTTATAAGCAGAAGTTCCAAGTTTTCCCTTGGATCAACTACGAGAATCGAATATTTGCGTTTTTTTGGGGGGATATACATATATATATATATTACATATAAGACTAAATAAACCTCATCTGAGCAAATAGTTTTAAAAATGTTAATGAATTAGAGGGAGTCGGGAGCGCCTAAGTGGGCTACAGATCAGCAGGTTCGAACTGCGATATGCTGTGGAACTCGGTCCGGCATTCGGCAATGGAGAGTGTTATAACTACAACATTCAATACTGCATGGAGGGTGTTATAACACAACATTCAATACTGCATGGAGAGAGTTATAACTGCAACATTCAATACTGCATGGAGAGAGTTATAACTGCAACATTCAATACTGCATGGAGAGAGTTATAACTACAACATTCAATACTGCATGGAGAGTGTTATAACTACAACATTCAATACTGCATGGAGAGTGTTATAACCACAACATTCAATACTGCATGGAGAGTGTTATAACTACAACATTCAATACTGCATGGAGAGTGTTATAACTACAACATTCAATACTGCATGGAGAGTGTTGTAACTGCAATA